GTGTGTGTGTGTGTGTGTGTGTGTGAGAGATGGGGTTTCTATATAATGTTCAAGTTCAAACAAGTTGTTTTAATATCACATTTCATATTTTTTAAATATATTTTTTTAAATCATTCCAACAAATGTTTAAAATCAGAAGTTGGTTTTTAAAAATTGTTTTAAATTTAATAATCACTTTTTTATTAGTGCTGAGAAACATTTGATGATAAAATGTGACAGTAGTTAAATCAGAGGACGATCAGAACGTTTAGAATTAGATCTGACGAGTGAATCGATAATTATTGATTATTGATTAATGTACCTGTGAATCCAAAGAGTCCAGAGAACGTCTCATGTCCCTGCAGAGTTTCATTCACTGTCACATTCAGATGATTCGACGTCACGTCTGAGGAGATGGAAAACAAGAGCAAACAAACACAAACATGTTGATCATATGAACAGTAGCATGTGGATGGTATGGAGGACATGATGAGGACAGCAGCAGCAGCTGATGAGTTTGATGCACAAACACATGAAGATGTTGTCATGTGTAAAAACAAAACAGGTGTTAAATGTGTTGAGAGAGTAAATGTATATTTCTGACCTGAGAGCAGCAGACACATGACAGACAGCAGCAGCATCATGACTCACTCATCATCTTCATCATCATCACTCTCACCTGATCTCACCTGAGGTGGAGCTTTGACGAGTCTCACCTGTGTGTGATCACGCACACACACACACACACACACACACACACACCCACACCTGCAGCTCATCATCAAGGTTTCACAGTGAGCTCAGAGTTCAAACATCAGCCACACTCTGAGGCTGCAAAATAAAACCTCTGAAACAAACAGATTTAAAATCAAACTCAGATTATTATTAATCATGTGTTTGATTTTAATGTCTCATCGGTCCGTTAGAAACATGATGTCAACTTCACTTTCACTAACACTAATAACACTAATAATGAATCAATGAATCAATGAATCAGTGACTTCATTTCAAGCAAAACAAACAATAAAAACAAAGAATACATGAACATGATGAAAAGGAAGAAGTGAACTCTTCTATAACCCTCCCTCTCACTATTCATCTCTTATTTCAAAATGAAACTGTCAACAACTTATTGACAAACATTAATATAGATAAATAAATAAAATTAAATAATAAATAAATAGTCTCAGATATTAAATACACAAACCTCGTCTCAGCAGAGCTGCACCAGCACTCTGTGTTTTTAGATTTAATATTTAAATGACATCTCAACCGTTTTTAATGTTGCTCAGAAGTAAATTATCTCTTGTTTTAACAGGAGCAGTAGATGGTCACAGTGATCTATGGTCCAGTGTGAGTCTGGATTTTCCCATGATGCACTGCTCCCTGACAGCTTTGGCTGAATGTGATCCCGAACTGCACACACCTACACACTTTTTTTTTTTTAATGACATCATTTTGTTTTTGTCAGACTCAGTGACAGTTTGTTGATGTCTGTTGTGATCTGTGTCAGAAGCAGCTGTCAGTCCTCTCAGGAACATTAAATATCAGTATCAACCACAAATAACACAAACTTCAATGTTTGTGTAACCCGACACACAGGTCATTAATATATAACAGAAACAGTCATGGCCCCAGTACTGACCCCTGGGGGACACCACAAGTAATGTGACCACATGATGACTTACATTCACCCATCTGAACAAACTGATGGCTGATTTTAATGTGATCAGTCATGTCAAAGGCTTTTTGTAAGTCTATGAATGTTCATGTTGACAACTGATTCTTATTCAAGCTGTTTATTTCTTCTGTCAGTTCATGTGTTGGTGCTGAATCCATCCTGATGGTCACTCAGCAGTTTGTGTCTCAGTGAAGGGCGGGAGGAGCTTTTTAAAACTGTGACAGTCGTGAAACCGGCCTGTAATGATGATGATGATGATGATGATGATAATGTTCGCAGGTCCAGACCAGATGGGACACGGTCTCTGGGTGCACACGGTCTCAGTGTCTTTACTGAACCTGACAGAGTGACAGCCATGAACGAGTTCAAAGGACGTCTCTTTAACTTTGTAAACAGCAGATTTCTGCCAGGAAGACACCAGATTTATTTCCCAGCTTCTGCCCTGAGCAGGTTTGATCCAGGCTGCTGTTACACGTGGGGCGGAGACACAGTCCGTCAGTCCACCAGTCAGGAAGGATGTGTTGTGTTGTTTTAACAGGAAGCTGGTGAAACACAGAGTTTTCCTGTGGGTGTGTCAGCGTGGTCAGTGAAGGTGTCACAGCAGGAGGTGGACAGGTCTGGTCTGTACAGAGCATGATGAGCCCAGAGGGAAACAGCTGATGAATGTTTTCTATCCTCACTGAACAGCTGATTTACCATCTCTGATGTTCTGTCACAGCACCAGAGTTGGGTATAACGCGTTACAAAGTAACACAGTAACGAGTAACCTAACGCATTAGTTTGCTGTTTGAGTAATCAAATACTTGAGTACATTTTCAAACAAGCCATCAGTTACTTCCGTTACTTTTAGAACGCTGGTCCTTCAGCTCCGAAACAGCAACGGCTGTCTTTTGTTTCTAATAACGGAGATAACGTTAAACCTGTCAGTTCGAAAGAAGTCATGAAGCTTGTGGCTCGCTATGTGGTCGGAGAAATGCTGCCGTTGTCTACGGTGGAGTCTCAATAGGTGGAGTAGGACTCGCTGACAGACAGGTCAGACTCAGGAGGACTTGCATTATGCCTGGTACACACTACACGACTTTTCTGCCCATTTTGAAAGTCACTGTCACATTACAACATTGTGGAGTCATAAAATCGTGCCGTGACTTGGCCGACAGACATGACACACTACACGCTGGTACTCACCAAAATTCCCGCTGGTCGTCTTTCATGGCGTGTGTGATGTCATCGGGTTATTCTTGTCCTGTTTTTATCACTTTCACTATTATTTGAGTCACTGTGTGTGTTCATGTGCCAGCCGACATGTTGTTGTAGTCACCTAAAAGCGTCAGCAGATGGCAGGAGCTACATTTGAAGCGCCATATGTAAACTATCAAGCTACTGTATCTTCCACAGGAAGTTCTGACAAATGTTTCAGAATAACAGCCTATTTAGAAAATGGAGGGATTCTCTCAGCCGAGGTTATAAGGAGCTTTTAATTTGAAACAAGTGTTGAGTTTGAAATGACGGTGCGATATGTTAACTTTATAAAGACAACGGAGCGGATAAAAAGTAAATATATAAACACACAGAGGGATTAATAAATAACGGACCGTCTATAATGTAGTTTGTTTCAAATGAAGCTGGGAGCCTCTGCAGTTGTGGTGAGTAAAAGCCCCGCCGCTATTTGTTAATGTTATTACTTTATGTTCGACCGTGAGGATGTACCATTGTTTGCTAGCTTGATGCTAATTACAGTAACATTAACTCAGCTGGTTGACAAAGTGCCTCTGCTGTTTCACACCATCATTTCTCCCTTTTACTTTGTGTGGTAACATCCCTAGAGGAAATATTAAAAACGCTGGGGTGTTGTTGTCATACAGTTGTCTACGGCAGCAGGTCGTTGTGTGTTTCTACTGGTCAAAGTGACGGCTGTGATGGGAGAACTGGATCTCAGTGAAGGGCAAGTGGTCCATAACTTTAATTTTGGAAACAAAATAATGTAGGCTTAGCGCCCTGTGGTCCATTGGCCAATAGGAAATGTAGAATACTCAAAAGTACTTTAAAAGTGCTTGAGTTACTTTTTTTTTTGAAAGATATTTTTTCGGGCATTTTTAAACCTTTAATGTATCGGACAGACGCGTGAAGGGGAGAGAGAGAGGGAGCCACACGCAGCAAAGGGCCACAGGCCGGAGCTGAACCCGGCGCGATGGCAACAGCCCTGCACATGGGGCGCCCGCTCTACCACCAAGCCATCAATGCCCCAAAGTGCTTGAGTTGCATTTGTCAGGGAGTAACGCAGTAAAGTAACTGGTTACTTTTTTAAAAAGTAACGCAGTAACGTACTTTGATTATTTTTAAAGTAACCCTTACCCAACACTGCACAGCACACGTCCCTGTAGTTCCATATCAAATATAAGTGTCAGAGGAGCGTCATCTGATCAGTGTCACTCAGCAGAATAAACCTTGTCTTCATTCAGACTGATTTGTTTTATATATTGTGAGTTTTGTTCCGGAGCAGTTGGTCCTGTACAGACCAGACACTGCTGCACTTTGTTCCTGCTTCTGTTTACTGTTTATTTATAGTCAGACAGTGACGTCACTATCAGCTGCTGTGCCTGTGTTTTGGAGGTGTGCTTTTACTGTGACAGTGTGGAGGCGGAAGTGTTGTGGGAGGTGTACCGGGCTGCGGGTACAGACCGGGCTCAGTCTGCCGGGGGAGTCCGCTCAGAGAGCATCATGTCCGAGTACAGCCGGGAGGTGCAGCTCGCCACCAGCTTGCTGTGCAGCAGCTCCGGGTCCATGGAGCTGCTGCAGCTGCACCGGAAGCTGCTGCAGCGCGTCGACATCACCGTGCAGGAGTTCCGCTTCATCGTCCAGAAGTGTCCCCGCTTCCTCCTGGTCGGCGGCCCCGCGGCGGGCCTCACCGTGGTGGCCCAGACGTCCCTGCGGCTGTGCGGTCGATACGGTCGGGAGGAGAGCGGAGGCTGCAGCCAGGAGGACTGTCCACACCTCCACCTGTGCAAGTTCTTCATCTACGGAAACTGCAGGTTCGGCAAGGGCAGGTGAGAGCAGCGCGCACGCGCACAGAGTGTCACAGTAACATGTACAATCAGTTTGTTCTGATGAAGTTATTAACCGCCTCCAGGTTTCCGTAGATCTAAAACAACACGCAGAGACTGAACTCATCACCTGCATTAATTTAACTGTCTGTTTCCTCCGCCGCGGAGGGATACACTCCTCCTGCAGCAGTGAACAGGCCAAACGAAACTTAAGGAAACAGAAACCTGCTGCAGCTGCGCATTAAAGGAGCATTACACCACAAAACCATCATCATCATTATCATCATCATCAGGACTCTGTTCACCGTGGGACCGACACACAGACGATCTGTAATTAGTCTCATTAAAGTGTGTGACATCGTAACGTTGTACCTTGGACAGTTTGTCAGCTGACAGGAAGTAAACAGGGACCAAAGCTGTTACCATAGCAACACCATAGCCATGAGAAGGTGTCATGTTACAGTGAGGTCATAGAACAGCTGACTGATTCCAGGGAAATGAAACTGATGGTGATGATGATGGCATGTGCTCACCTGTCTGAGTGTTTCTGATCATGTGTTCATATCTCAGGTAGAATCTGCTCCTCGTCCTCATTTGTATGTGGACAGGTGTCCTTTATTAACCTGTAGTGAAGCTTCATCAGTCCGTCCTCGTCTCAGCTGCAGTTTGTTCCTCAGCCTGAATTTATTTATCTCACAGCAGCTGTTTGAAACGTGTCATGCATGTTGACATGTTTTCACGTTTGTTTGTTTCAGCAGCTGCTGGAATTTGAATAAATAGTTTTTCCCCTCATTAACTAACTAGTGTTTACCTGTTTGTCACTGAGGATCTAAATATTGTGTCGTCAGGTGTTTGAGCTGCACCACATACACCTGTAACTGTTCACACCTGACCACTGAGCGAAACCTGAAGACTTTAATGTTATGATTTATGAATCCTTTTTATTCAGCTGAATCCAGAGTCGGCAGGTATGTTCTGTTGGACTCATTCTGCAGCAGGTTGTCATAAAGTCAGGACGCAGCAGACTGGTGATAAATATTAAGTATTGATTATTGATCACTGATGATATGAAGACGTGTGATGTCATCGTCTGTCGCAGGAAGCCGTGTAAATTCTCCCACGACATTCGTTCGGGTCGCAACTTTGACTTACTGAGAGAGTGCACGCTGCATGACCTCAACGAGGAGCAGCTGTTCCTGCTACTGCTGCAGAACGACCCCGCCCTGCTGCCAGAGGTAACACACCTGAGCCACACCTGAGATACACCTGTAACACACCTGAGATACACCTGAGACACACCTGTAACACACCTGAGACACACCTAAGCCACACCTGTAACACACCTGAGATACACCTGAGACACACCTGTAACACACCTGAGACACACCTAAGCCACACCTGTAACACACCTGAGACACACCTGAGACACACCTGTAACACACCTGAGACACACCTAAGCCACACCTGTAACACACCTGAGATACACCTGAGACACACCTGTAACACACCTGAGACACACCTAAGCCACACCTGTAACACACCTGAGATACACCTGAGATACACCTGAGACACACCTGTGATACACCTGAGCCACACCTGAGCCACACCTGATATACCTGTGATGTACCTGAGTGTTCTCTGCTGTTAAAATAAACATCTTTGGGTTTTGGACAGTTGAAGACGTCAACAAACAAAACAAAGGACAAAAAAGGAAAAAAAAAAAACGAATAAAGGGAAAAGAACAAAAAAAGAACAAAAATTTAAAAAAGAACAAAAAGGAAAAAGAACAAAAATTTAAAAAAAAAAAAAACAATACAGGTGTGGAGGTGAGTGATTGAGTTTTCCTCAGAGGTAAAGTAAAAGCATTTTGTTTCTGTCAGGTTTTATTCATCATGACTAAACATCTCATGCTCACAACCACATCATTTATTAATACAACATCCTTTCATTTGTTCATCCATTCATCAAAATCCTACAGTTGAAAATTCATATTCATAGAAAAAAGTCATATTAATAGAACATCACATTAATCACACTTTATTGAAGAGTCTTCTCAAATTACATTCAATATTATTAAGTTTCATGTGATAGATTCTCTCTGTCTCTTTATTCTGTATATCTAAACTTTAACTCTATATATTCCCACTGTCACTCCTAATGTCCAAACTTTAATTCCATATATTTAAATTTAACTCCATATATTCCCACTATCATTCCATACACTCAAACTTTGATCCTATGTATTCCCACTTGTATTCAATATGTTCAAGTTTCATTCCATACATTTTAATTGCGTTCTGTATATTCTGACTTTTAATCCATATAATCAAACTTTGATTCCATTATATTCCAATGTTCATTCTATAAACTGAAACTGTTTATTTGATATAACCAAACTTTAGTTCTATATATGCTGAGTTTCATCCAACTTTCATTCTTTATATTTAAAGTATCAATCTGGCATTAATTATATATAGTCAAACTTTTACTCTATACACTCAAAGTTTCATTCTATATTTTCGGGCTTTCATTATCTATATTCAAGTTTCATTCCATATATTCAAATTTAATTCTGTATATTCTTCTGTACTTTTATTCCATTATATTCCAACTTTCATTCTATAAACTCAAACTTTCATGCTGTATATTGTGACTGCCACTTCATGTACTCAGAGTTTTGTTTTATATATTCTGACTTCCATTCTGTATATTTAAGTTCATTCTAAGTATTCTGACTTTTATTCCATACACTCAAATCAAGTTTTATTCTATATAACCAGACTTTAATTCTATATATGCCGACTGTCACGGAACATTAATTCCGTATATTTAGACTGTCACTCCATATGCTCAAAGTTTCATTTTAGAGTTTGTTCTTTGTGTATATTCTGACTTTCGTTCTATAAACATCACATATATATATTTTACATATAATCCATAAACACAAACTCTTTTTGTTGTAATTCTGAAAACACATATTTACAACAAACGTCCACCTGTAATCGTTTATTAAAAGATGATTTATTATGGGATTTTTAGTCATGATTAAAAACAAACATTAGATTTCTTCAGTGTAATGTGTTTCTCAGGTGTTTCACCGCTGGCTGTGTCACTTCCTGTTTGACTTCCTGTCTCAGGTGTGTCTGCACTACAACAAAGGCTGCGGTCCTCACGGCAACTGCACCTTCAGGGAGAGCTGCACCAAGGTGCACCTGTGTCAGCACTTCGTCCAGGGCGACTGCATGTTCGGAAGCAAGTGTAAACGCCAGCACGCCATCGACCAGGAAAGCCGCCGCATGCTGGAGGAGAGGGGACTGAGCGCTGATGTCATCCACGAGCTGCCTTTCATCTACAGGAACATCCACCACCTCACTGCCGCCGTTGCCACAGGTAACAATGACACACCTGTTTACACCCGCTCAGTATCAGCATTGTATCAGACGGCGTGCAGGATGACTCTCAATGTGTCCGTGTGTCTGTCAGAGATGTCTCCTGATTTGTCGTATCACGCTGTAGATCAGACGGATGAGCGGACAGAGATCTGTCTGCACTTCACCAGAAACAGCTGCAGGTTTCAGAGTGAGTTCACATTCATTACTTCATCGTAACCTCACCATCACCCTGTCATCACACATCACTTGGTTATTTAAACTCCACCAGATGGCAGCGGAGTTTAAATACTTAACGTTAGCTGAAAACCAGGTGTTTGGTGTAACCAGACCAGGCCTCTAATGGAGACAGGCCTGTCTTTGTCTAAACGTGCAGCTGCATCGGGCCGGTTAAAGAGACTCTGGTCCATGCAGGAGGATACTCTTATTTGTGTTGTTATTTTTTATGAACCTTAAAGAGATTATTAAATGGTGTGTGATGTCATCAGGTTAATCATTTCTCTAACGTCACTACAGGAGCAGATTTCTTTAAATGAAACCACAGCCTCTCTCCGCTTCAGTCTCACATTGTTCTGTTGTTTCTGACCAGACGAGTGTCGCCGTGTTCACTTCCACCTGCCCTATAAGTGGGAGGTGTTTGATGGCTTCACCTGGATGGACCTGCCACACATGGAGGACATTGAGCAGGACTTCTGTGACCCGTCTAAGATGCACAGGTCGGAGGTCACATCTCACCTTCGTCCAGGTGAGAAGATGATAGTGGATGAGGTGTTGACTCAGACTCTTCTCTGTTTTCAGCTGTGGCATCAACTTTGTGACGATGACTCAGGAGTCGCAGCCCGTTCGCCGCCTCTCCACAGTTTCCTCGGTAACAAAGCCGCCTCACTATGTCCTGACAACCGAGTGGCTGTGGTACTACAAGGGAGACCACGGGGACTGGGTGGAGTACGGACAGCCGGTGAGTCAGACCGCTGGAGGAAGGTTAACCATAAAGGTCAGGAGGGTCTGAAGGGTCAGGAGGTCAGGGGGTCAGGAGGGTCTGAAGGGTCAGGAGGTCAGGGGGTCAGGAGGGTCTGAAGGGTCAGGAGGACGTTTATCTGTTCACTTTTACGAGTAGGCTATTGACCCCCTATAGACTTCAATTGTATTCGCTAAGCTAAGCTGCAATGCTAACCACTGAGACCCAGCCACTGGACGTACAGACACAAAAAAGATATCGATCATGTTGTCTCAATATGAAAATGATAGAGAAAGGGCAGAACTCCCAAATCGTTGGAGTATTCCTTTAAAGGAAAACCTTTTGGTGTTTGCCCTTAACAACTGAAGTTTGCTCTCATGTGTTGGCAGAAGGTTTTCAGGAACCTTCAGAACATTTGAAGGAACCAACTAGAGTCTGTTTAAAGGTTAATAATCAGCGGAACATGAGACTGTGGTTCAATTTATGTCGATTGAAGAGGAGGAAGAGATGCAAGACACATTATTCAGCTCAGGTAAAACCAGGTAAACATGTTGATGCTGTGAGCGATGAGTTCACACCGTCAGTCTGCCCTCAGAGTCTGCTGATGTGTGGGTGGAGCTCCTCCTCCTCCTGTTAGCATTAGCACAGTTAGCATCTCTGGAGCTAGCCGAGGGAATGGAGACAACCTGAGAGTTGCTCCTAAAGGAACCCCTTAACTTAACTTAAGGGAGTATTCTTCCTAAGGGACAGGGTTGAGTGTGAACCTTTGGACTCAGAGACCAGCTCCTGAGGTGAGTCTGATGGCTGAAAGTCTTTGAACCTGTAACTGATCAGATCAATACAAACCTGGACCATCTGCCCCCCTCAGGACGAGAAGCAGCGCACCACGTCAGTGACATCACGGACTCTGGAGGAGGCGTTCCTGTGTGACAGAACCGCCGAGGTCAAAGTGGTGAAGGGCCGCAGAGAGTACGTCGTCAGCTTCACAGGTACTACTTCCTGTCACTTCCTGTCACTTCCTGTTTAACCACAGAGTCTGATGTCTGCTGAGCGAACTGAAGACAAACTCTTGTTGTGCTTTTTGATGGTTGCAGACATGTACCAGAGGAACCACAAGCACAACACCAAGAGGAGGATCTGCCGGCGGCCTCGCTTTGTCTCAGTGGCCCAGGTCCAGAACCAGAAGACAACCCTAAACCTAGTCCTAGGTCTGTCTGGTCAGACTGGACCTGGTAGCCCTGACAGACATGATGGACCTGATACAGTGCCTTATCTCAGTTGAACACACCTGGACTCAGACTGTCTCTGACGTCACCTCCTTACTGGAAATATCTTCCTGACTTGACCTGACAGACCTGATGGACCTGACGGACCTGATGGACCTGACGGACCTGACGGTCCTGATGGACCTGATGGACCTGATGGTCCTGATGGACCTGATGGACCTTACACACCTGATGGTCCTGATGGACCTGATAGACCTGATGGACCTTACACACCTGATGGACCTGATGGACCTGACAGATCCAAACTCAGTGATTCAAACTGGTACTCTGTTACTAAATACTATCTTACATAATACTATGTTACAGGTCAGAGTCTGAACTGAAAATGTTGCTGCAGTAAATATGAGTCAATAAAATCAGGAAATTGTAACTCAAGTATTAAAAGTACTTTAAAGTAACTGACCTAAAATCTAACAGCAAAATGTTTGTCAGAAACAGTTTCCAGTTAATTTCCTGTCAATCAGCTGATTGATTAATTTTTTCAGCTCCACTGTTGTTTAGTTTAATTTATAATCATCACCATATTTTATAAACTCAGCGTCAGATTTATGACGTGAAGGAAACGGTCCAGTGTTTCCCTCTGAGGTAAAAAGAACAGACTCAGTAATAGTTCCTTAAATTTGTACTTAAGTTACGTGATTCAGTAAATGTACTTAGTTACAGCACTGGAGGGAGCTCACAGGGCTGACGTCACAGCAGAGAGAAGGATGGAGTGATGAGTGAAGGAGTGAAGGATGTAGGGATGTCCCGATCCAGCTTTTTCCACTTGCAATCCGATACCGATATTACAGCCTTGAGTTTGGCCGATACCGATCTGATCCAAGCGCGTATTATACATATTCACTTATTTTGTTGTCAGTCATGTTAGAAAAGGTTTGATCAAGCAATATTACTCTAACAAGAACAACTACTTAATCGGGTTAGTTAGAATGATCCACAACAGTTGGTATGAGAAACTGACCTGTTTATTGTTAACAGGGTTAAATAAACAAACTTTAAACTTGAACTTTAACATTAAATAAAAAATATAGCTGGTTTGCTTTGGCTGCTTTGGCCCCTTAATAAATAGAAAATAAATCAACACAAGAAATCTTTAAAATGTCTAACATTGAAATTAAAATAGCAGCAAGACTCCACACACTTGTGCTTTGGCCCCCTAATAAATAAAAAAAAGATTAACACCACAAGACATTGTTGACATTTAACAAACAATGCTGTCTTTCCTTTTCAGTTATATTTATAGTGTCAGTGCCAGCCTGGTGCTGCTGTTTCCTGGGACCAACAGAGGGGACAAAAAACCACACACAATATTGTACAACTGTTTGAACAAGCAATAGTCCATCCATGGCTCCAATTTCACTAATTGTGCCCAAAACAATGCCATCAGTGCTCTTTACTTAAACAGTAAGAGTGTAAACCAAATAAAAATATCACTCTCAAAAAACCAGAGCAGAAAACAAATAGTCAGTTAACTAAATTGACCGCTACTCCTCCTACCCTACCCTCCGTGTGTGTGTCTGCCTTCTGCATGCTGGCCTGGTGGATTGATAGTAAGAGCTGGGGCGGATCACTGGAATGGACTGCTTGAATCGTGGAGCGCTGGGCTGTTCGGAAAACCTGGATCGGTTTCCTTGAAAAACTGGATCGGAGTTCTTGGATCAGCATTTTTCCATGCAGTCTGATCCGATGCCGATGCATGTTTTTTGCTAATATCGGCAGCCGATACCGATCCGAATATCTGATCGGGACATCCCTAGAAGGATGGAGTGATGAGTGAAGGAGAGAAGGATGAGTGAAGGAGAGAAGGATGGAGTGAAGGAGAGAAGGATGGAGTGAGGAGAGAAGGATGGAGTGATGAGTGAAGGAGAGAAGGATGGAGTGATGAGTGAAGGAGTGAAGGAGAGAAGGATGGAGTGATGAGTGAAGGAGTGAAGGAGAGAAGGATGGAGTGAAGGATTGTGGGAAACAGTTAAACGTGTGGCTTCACTGTAGAAAGGCAAACAGAGACGAGACAAAGTGTTTTAATGGACGTTAACGAGCTGCAGAGTGAACGTCAGACGGATCGACCATTGAAGGCAGCACGCCGTCCGTCTAATGTGTCATCAGTCAGCGCCTCGCTGTGACCTCAACAAGTCACCTCCTTTTGTTTTTAATACTTTAGAATCAATAACAGATATAGCCTGGAGAGATTTAGAGTCTGGGCCTTACCGATACACCCTTCCTACCCAAGGGGCCGCACTGGCTCAGGCATATTAAATGCCGCCGCACACAACTGGATAGCACGATGGCCAATCAGAGCAAATAACAAGGTGAAGTATTCATTGCACTGAGCCCCATTGGTTTGCTGTTTACTTTTAGACTCCTACGGCGCAGCGCTGTCCTCATCATGTTACGCCTGCCCAGAGCCCGCCTCTGTCAGATAGACTGATCTGATTGGTCCGATGGCGATTCAGCAGGCTCTGCTCGTCAGGGTCAGATCCTTTATTGATCCTGTGTTTTTATTGATCCTGTGTTCTTATTGATCCTGTGTTCTTATTGATCCTGTGTTTTTATTGATCCTGTGTTTTTATTGATCCTGTGTTCTTATTGATCCTCTGTATATCGGTGTGTTTTAAGGGGTTAAAGTTTTTCATGTTTCTTCATGTTTCTTCTTCTGCCTTTGATAAAAACAAAACAAAACAAACAAAAAAATATTTTTGTTACTGTGTATTTTTACGGTTATTTTCAGACTTAAGAATTAAAATGTTCCTCGTGGTCATTTTTAAACATCTCCACAGATACGTTTAAATAAACTCCACACAACAGAAACATGATGTGTTTCATTTTTATTCACCTACAAAACTGTGACTGAGTTTCCAGCTGTTCAGCAGTCTGACCTGCGTCCCAACAACACACGTTTTTTAAAGTTTGACTGATTTAAAACAAACACTAGACATGACTTAATAAAGACATGATTTTATTATTTGTACACACAACTGTAAAAAATCCAAATAGTAAAAAGGAAAAATCAGGGAGGTGGAGACGAACCAGACTGATACAGACAGACCTTAACTGGAGGAGAAACAGATAAACGAACGAAACTTATAGAGAAAATAAAGTCCAACAGGAAGCAGACTGAGCAGTCCGTGAGAAATAATCCAATAAAAACCAAGAAATATAGAAAACAGCGCAGAGAAAAAAGAAGTAAAGGAATAATTAGACATGATGAATTAAATATAATGAAAATGTCCTCTTAAATGTGACATAGATAAAGATTTCTGACAACATGCTGCACATCTGAGGGAGGAGTTCAAACACAAATCAGCTTCACTATAACTCGCAGCATTCACAGACAAACACTTGTCTTTATCTGGACACATTTTCCCCACAAATACAACATGCTACGTTATTAGCACAAGCCTATGGCATTTTACATTGCATAAATTAGCCTAGCAGCTAGTGCAGTTTTTCGCTACTCATATGAAGCCAGGGACAACAGCAACATTTAACAAAGGTAATGTTACAAAATTCGGCTCCGTTACAGCTCACAAGGTTCACTGACAAAACAACTGTCGTGTGCGATGCAAATGTTCATGTTGCGTTACACGTGCGAGTTTGAACACGAGAATATTTTGTGTTGACTTGTGTCATGTGCATGAAATCGCTGAATCGCTGAATGAACTTTGTCGCAGACAAACACTTACCTTTATCTGGACACATTTCCCCCACAAATACAACATGCTAACGTTATTAGTACAAGCCTATGGCATTTGACATTGTATAAATTAGCCTAGCAGCTAGCAGAGTTTTCCTCTACTCATATGAAATCAGGATAAATCACACACTGCGTTGAGTCGACGTCCCCTCCTCCTCCTCCTCTGGAATATTTCTGTCTAGAATTTACCTAAAAAAAAACCAAACGTTAGCGGAGGATTTCAGAGACACCATATGACAGTGTGCTAGCTAAGGTAACAGCTAAGCTAACTAGCTAACAGGATGTTTCCTTCAGTTCAGCTTCCTGCTGATTGTCACTGTTGTATTGGTCCTGTTTCTGCCCTTCACACTACAGGATGGTGAAACAGGGACTAAATTAGCCCCTCCCCCACAGCCACAGGTGTTTCTGTCAGGTGTCTACCCACCTGTAAAGACATGCACTTCCTTGTTTTGGACACTAGGGGCATCATCTGTTTTTTTTACAGATCTACAGACACCAGACACAGAGAGGAAACGAGACGTCAGTTATTCTCCCATCCTAAACCTCACTGTCCTCACATGTCCACGTGTCCTGATGTCATAGATACAGCCAACAGATGGCAGCACAGGGCAGAGTCAGAATTTTAAGACACCAACAAACAAGGTGACGAAGGAGGAGGTTAGACCTTTGAAAAGAGGCAGTGTTGTAGACAGCGGTGAGGTCATTAACCACATGCCGACATGTGGACGGAGACATTTAATATTTTATTACAGATCGGTTTCTCGCTTTACCTGAGCTTCAGCGCCTCCACAATCTCCGGCTGTTTCATCTGTAAACGTTGAGAAACACAGACGACATAAACGCAGAGTACGCACGCTGTTCGTATTTAACGTTTAAAGAGCTGAATCTCAGGTGTGACGTTGATTCGAGCAGGTGCATAAATCCTGTTAGCAGTGAAGCCACCTGATGTTGTGAGTTTTACTCCTGTGGGGGCGCTACAGAGTCACAGACTGCAGCTGGAGGAAGAGGCTCCTCTGGGACACCGTAGATTGATGATGATGATGATGATGAAGAGGAGGAGTTATTGATGATATTAATGATAATTGTTGATGATGATCAAACTGTGACAGATTTTTGTTTTGATGACTGATGATGTCACAGGTCACAGGTGATTGGCTGGTTCCGTGTTTCACACTCTGCAGGTCAGAAACGCACTGCTGGTTCTGATGGTCCCGGTCCTGTCGGTCCTGATCCTGCAGGTCTGATCCTGGTTCAGCTCTGTGTCTGTGTGTGAGGAGGAGGAGGAGGAGGAAAACAAGATGTCGTTTGAATTGTAGATTTGGATCATTTGACGCTCAGCAGCAGCAGCGGCGGCGGCGGCGGGAGGCGGAGCCGGGTTGGACTGGTACCGACACCGACACCGGGCCGTGCTGTGGATGTGAGGCTCCGGAGGCTCAGTCCGTATTTGATTCCCGTGAGGAAGAGGAAGGCATGTGGAGGTGAAGAAGACTGCGGACACAGAGAGGAGGAGGAGGAGGAGGAAAACAAGATGTCGTTTGAATTGTAGATTTGGATCATTTGACGCTCAGCAGCAGCAGCGGCGGCGGCGGCGGGAGGCGGAGCCGGGTTGGACTGGTACCGACACCGACACCGGGCCGTGCTGTGGATGTGAGGCTCCGGAGGCTCAGTCCGTATTTGATTCCCGTGAGGAAGAGGAAGGCATGTGGAGGTGAAGAAGACTGCGGACACAGAGAGGAGGAGGAGGAGGAGGAAGGTGTGATTCTGCAGGGACTCTCCGCCTCCTCCTTCCCCGCGCAGGGAGCGCGCCGCGCGGCTGAGGCAGAGGCGTGACGCGCCCGAACCGCATCTCCAGGATGGCAGGTAGGTCTGATCTGAATGAGCCGGTACCGACGGCCCGGCCCAGCCCGGTCCGGCTCGGCTTGGTTCGGCTCCCTGTCAGTATGAAGCGTGTGTGTTAACTGTGTGGAGGAGGATGAGGGGGGCGGCTGCGGATCTAGTCCGCAGCGCCGGTGCTCGGTGTCGGTGTGAAGCAGCATGGAGGCTCCAGCTGCGGCTCACCGACAGGAGGGAGGCGGCTCCCGGGCTGAGCAGCATGAGCACGGTCAACAGCACCGGACCGGACCGGAGCCGGTAACTAGGGCAGCTGTACCCCGGGACGAAGACTGTGGGGCGGGATGAGAGCAGCCGCTATGTCCGGTGTGTTCACGGAGCAGAGACCGGAGACAGACCGGAGACAGGCCGGGAGGTGTTAGAGGGCTGCCTGTCCGGTAATGGGGTCAGTGTGAGCCGAACTGAACAGAGCCGAGCCGAGCCGAGCCGAGCCGTGCAGGGCCGGCGGAGGTGTGAGCGGCCTGGACACGGTGAGGCAGAGCAGCAGGGCCGGAACACAGCTGAACAGGGCCCCGCTCAGT